GGCATGGTTCGTCATGACAGTAGACACTGCATTCAGCAAGCCGTTCGTCTTGTCCGCATTCTCCACGATGTAGCTCACCGCTGCAGGCGTCGTGTCGAGGATGCCAGGGATCGGATTGAGCATCACGACGACCGCAGCAAAGACCTTATGGAGCTTTGCAGCCGCCTGCTTCACCACTGGTTGCATCTCCTGCTCGTCTGGGCGATCTCTGACATAGGCCTCCACGTAGCGCTCGGCGAAACCGTACAGCAGGTCATGCCGGCTTCCTCCTGCCTCAAGCAGCTGCATGAAGCCGGGGGCAGTCAAACAGGAAACCACGGCGTCTTCCAGCTCCTGCACAACAAGAACAACATAAGCTCAAAGCCACCAGTTGGAATGTATCCGGCAACGCAACGCCAAACGGACCCCACTGGCCCAAGCAAAGATTCATTTCAACCAAGTAGCAGCACTCCTGGGTGCAATTGAAACATTCGACTGCGGAAGTTTCATCATCACTAATCACCAACAACCACTAACTAACGTATTTAGGTTCTGGTTCCAACAGCAACATTGCACGAAACCTTCTTGCGCATGTGAAATGCCGCACCGCTATACGTCATTATGCACCGATCACGGTCCTGCACACGCATAGGGCTTTCTGCGGCATTGAAGCCATGATGGGACTTTGGATTTTGCAAAACATTGTTGATTTTAGATACAAACGCACATAACGGTGCCTTGCCTACGGTAGATTGCTGCATGAAGATTTCAATAGCAATATGAAAATATGCATACGATACTTTGCCGGCTCCAAAATCCTACGTCTACGTCTACGTCCATGGGATCCCGCGACCCAAGAGCAGCTTCTGGGCTCCCGAAACGCAAACGAGCAGTCGCCTAGGCTCTCAAGTCTGCCTGTAACAGACTCTATCACCTCGAATCACATCAGAAATCGCATCGGCCCGGCAGACCCGCTCTCCGGATCTGATTGAAACAAGGCATTCAGGCTCAGCAACCCTCATTGGATGTGGGCATTTCCGAATTGTGTGAGGAATCCTATTGAGCGGCCGCAGGCAGCCAACCCCATCATACCCACCCCCCCAGCACACCCCCTCACTGCACTCAGAACAGGCAATGTGTACGACACTGTATGCCTTCCGAGATGGCTTCTTCTACGAACCGACCTCGACATCTACATTGAATCTACAATTAGAATTTACGCGTGCGTCGCATCACAGGCAGAAGCATAAGGAAATATCGGACTTTATGGGTCAGAACACTTACAATCTTGCAACTAACTGCTCGATTTGTGCTCACCCTCGACACATACTTGTTTCTGGTCTACCAACCTTGCTTCCATGCTGCTTTCTTGCATACGGAAAACCACAGACACCAGGGCAGCAGCTCCAGAACATCATGACGCCAACACGCACTATGACTGGCAGCAGCGTGTATCACTGCGCGGCTCGAGGCAAGATGTAGTTTATAAGTGATGTCATGGCCTGCTGAATTGGACACCCAGTGTGAACACGGTAAAAAATCCCTACTAAGTCCTACTAACTACTATACTATATTTCTACACATTCTCTAGAAAGACACTAGAGTCAGTCACTACAGTTTAGAGTGATTCTAGAGTCTAGAGTCTAGAGGCTACGCTGTTACACAGTCTGCAGACGCTTACCTCTCAAGCTTGCACAACTTCGTTGGCAGTCACACTGGACTGAAAGGCCAATGATGCATGTTAGGATGTCTGTCAACCGAGTCTCCTCAAGCTCAAATACTTGCCCTGCCCACCTGCTGCAACGCACCTTCCTTGGCCTTGCCTTGCTCGTCCATGTTCTCGTACTCGGACTCACTGGACAACTCGCTCGCAAGAGCGCTGAAGCAAGGGCTCACAAAGCTCCAGCTCGTCTTAGCCCGCATCCACACACACATGACCGGCAGCAGGCTGTCCAGGAGCATCTCTGCCTTCGAATCCTTCTCTGCCGCTTTGCCTTGCTTGCTGAGCTCGAAGAGCTCATCGGTCATGAAGCGCACGGCTCGCTTGGTCACTTGGATCCGAATCGTCAACGGCAGAAGTACGTCTCTGTCCAACAGCAAGGAAACGCTGTTCTTTAAGTCTCTCTTCGACAGCGTCTCGAGGTGGTGTTTCAGGCCGTTGGCCAATTCGCAGGTCTCGATGACCTTGGTCAGGATCTTGCACTGCCATTTCCCGTCTTTGCGAAGGGTCTCCGCCACGCTCCGCGCCTGCAGCCCAAAGCAGTCTTAGTGTCTTAGAGTTCAAGAACAAGCATTGAATTCTCGAACATGCCATCCTACTCTGCCACACACAGCTCCAACACAACTTTGAAATAATGGAACCTAGAGTCCTGAGTCTAGAGTCTAAAGTTGCAGCTCAGCTTCGTCATGGAATCAGCGACTCTTTTCTGGTGATGCTCAAACAACTAAACTAGTAACTAAACATCTGAACAAGGACCAGAAACGGCAGCCACGGATAGCATCGAGTAGCAAAATGAAACAGGAGAGGTTATCTTCTTCGGTGTGGTGTAGTTGTAGTGGGTATAGTGTAAAGCCTCTTCGGCCAGTCTTGCTTGCCCTGTTTCAGCCCTGGCGCAGCAGTGCCTTTCAAACAAGTTTGGTAGAAAACCAAATAATAAACGGGTTTGGCACAAAATTTGATTGACATCGTGCGCGAGAAGCATGGGATCATAGTCAAGTCATCACACGGTCCGCCGAAAACACAAGTGAAATCTAGAAGGGCCTACAACAGTCCTACAGGGCTCGAGTGAACATCGCCATCCATGAAAAACACAACTTTGTGTCCACACACACACACACACAAACACACACACTGCATCACGAGGTGCCTCATCACATTTCTCACTTCATACTCGTGACGACAGAAACCATGGGGACCCAACGAAGTCCAGCGAAGCGGATACTACACTCGGAACTCAGGTGCACATAGCATGAGCGCTGACTGAGGTCCCGACGGCGTCGCAGCTCCGCATGAGCTTCTCGCCCGCGAATATTCGCTCCACCGACAAGTTGGCAAAGCATTTTGGCGTGGATTTCAACTCCTCCACAACGAGAGCCAAATCCTGTTCGTGGGCACCGAGGCCGTGGCCCTCCAAGTTCTCCGTGCCCAGCTCCTCTTCCTCGTCCTCCTTTACAAGGGCTGCAGCTTTGCGCTTGGCGGACTTCGCCTTCGCCTTGACTTTTGCCGCAGCCTCACAGAAGCGGCGAGACGAGCCGTGAACTTGCTTGGAATTCTCATCCTCGTCATCTGATACCACCGCCGCCCCTGTCGGAGCACTGCTTACCTTCTGCAACTTGAGCTTGTAATCCTCAACCGCAGGAACGTTGCCACTGGACACGGGGTTGGGGAAGCTGCCCCGCTGCTCGCCGGTGTGGTAATTCCAATGCAACTCCGCCTCAGGACACCGAAACTGTCCGCCCAACCCATCCCTTCACACACTAACGGCGGCAGTCCGGCAACAATGAACAATCTTGATCACAAGCCGTGAGAAGCCATGCCCAACATGAGTTGCCATACTCACCCTGTGACCCTGCCTGGTCCTCCTCAAACTGCCGCGCAGCCTGGAGGAGCATTTCATCCTGTGTCATGCTTGCACTTGCCTCGTAGCGGATTTTCCTGATGGAAAAAATCGTGGAAAGATCAAGGCCTGCAAGGCTGATCAAGTATTGCCGGCATTTGACACCGAGGTGGTTCTCAATGGTCACTTGCTCGTTCTTCCAGGCAGCATGGGCTTTCGAGTTCTTCTCCATTGTGATGATGTCGAAGAGCTCCGACTCTGTCACCAACCCGAACTCCATGTAGACAGTGTAACCCTGCCTGGTGCAATCATAGATGTTGCAGGGATGCTGCACATCACCTGGCACTTCACCGATGATGACCAAACGGCCTCTGACCATGCTATTCCTGAAGCCGTCCCTGTTCTCGTCGTGCCTCAGGCTGAAATGAAAACGAACACTCCCATAAGCTCTTACTGGCTGCTGACAACATGGAAGTCACCGTCACTGCAACGTGACATCTAGCAGAATCTAGCATGTATCTGATCTCTTTTCTCACAGTAGAGAGAGTCATAGAGTGTCATAGAGACAGTGCGCCGACACTGAAATGAACCTCTTTGCTTGTGAGCTGCCTGAGACAACACTCTGACCAGGGTCGCCCAGGGGCGTACTGCTGCCACCAGTTACAACACACAATGCAAGCGTCCTGGATCTTGACACCAGTCGCGTCTCTCGAAGCCATGGTAGTTTCCTGCACGAGGCTTGACAACTTGACATCATTTGATCTCCTTTTCCTGGGCTCAGAGGTTCGGAGTTACTTGTCCTGTGGAGTCCAACGCATAGCAGTGTAGCGGCTAAATACCTTCCATGTTACTGCGCTGGCCCAAACTATCCTGACAACGCAACAACCGTCTGCAACAAACGCTCCAGGATAGATCGCACTGCCGGAAGCACTGCACAAGTTCATAAGTTTGGGAGTCAGAAAGTCGGCCAGGTACACGAGTGCAAACGACACAACAGCACACTGCCATTCTTCCCACAGATCGCAACCCTCCGAAAATCGACCCCTAGCTGCAGCCATCTGACCCCAAAGGCCTCAGCGGTTGCTCCACACGTGTAGCACCTCAGGGTCGCTACCTTGGCCCTCTTGGAGCGCAATGAGGAGCGCATGCTCTGGACGTCATCATCCTCGCGGCTCTCACGCCGAGGAGTAGGGGCCGCTTTCTCCTGGCGATAAAA